CCCTCCTACAGTGTTGCTATTGCCAGTATCACTCCACCCCCTGTTAACAATAGGTGTTAATTAGGTGTCAATGATAGCCATGTGATGTGAGTATCACATGGAGGCAGGGCTTAAAAGCCTGAATTTTGCCTGAAACTCTCAGACTGAAGAAGTCTCTTGGAGAAGAGATGAAACGTTTCATTAGAGAAGAACCCGTCCAGAAGACATATACAATTTTTTTTCTTTTTGATTTTTTTTACCTGGATTACTGAGATGCATCAGGACAAAATAAGAAGTATGAGTTTTTAAAAAAGTATCTACAGCAGATTAAAAGTATTTAAAAGTCAGGTCCTTAACCGGATTTTAAATGAAGATGAGAAATTATGACATGAGAACCATTTTGATTAAAGCCTAAAAATGATCTGATTCCACGTGATAATTTGTTAGAGCTCAGACAGACACTGTCACTTTGAACTCCAGGCCATGGAAAATCCAAAACAAATAAATAAATGTGTTATTGTTTGGTATTTGTTAGCCCTTTTCTAAATGATTAATGTGACAGGTGGTAGGTGGACAATCAAAAAACAAAACAAAACGCCTGAACATGGTCAGATGCTGAAATGAACCTTTTGTAAAAAGAAGCCAAAAGGAACAATTTGAATGACCTTCAGGAGGTCTAAAGATTGGATAAAAAGACCACTTTAAAATATTTCAAGGAAGTTTGACTCACTGGAAACGAGCTATAAGGGATGCCTAAACACTTTAGCATAATACTGTGTGGGATCAACCTTTTTATCAGTTACATTTATCATAAGTTTCAGTTTTGAGTGACTCGTGAATCATGTTGCTCGTAGCGTAATAGTAAATGTCTCAGAGCATTTTTCCAGTTGTGTGTTCTTCCCTGCAGGTACTCCGCTCACATCCTGACCGCGGTGGCTGTAAACTACTTAATCATCATTAAAGCCGACATGGATAATGTACACCGGTAAGTGTTTGTTATCCACATTACCGAAACATTCCTCGTAGAGCCGAACAACACGTCTGTCACCGTGCTGAAAGACGCATGACAGAACCGATACAAATGCATCTGGTTCGTTGTGTTAATTTCGCTTTCAGGTTGATCTTGTCTGACTGGAAAACTGGACTCACCCTGGGAGGTGGGTGGTCAGTGGAGTGGGCTGAGGGCTCAGTATAGGCAGTACTAATGGTTGTGGTTCGTTAGCTATTCGAGATTTGTTTTATTATTTTCAACAGTTTCAGCCTCTGTGATTTATTAGCACTCACCACTGAACGGGAAATGGGATGTTTTTTTTTTTTTTTTGTTGCTCATGTCATGTTTGAGTTAATTTGGTGTAGCTTTAGCACACAAACCAGTGGGATGGATGAATTTTAATGAAGCTGTCAGAAATTAGTAGTTGGATATCTATAATTAAATATGTTTTGGGACCTCTAACATTTTAACTCATCCAGTTTTACAGATATTAACCTAAAATTTGGTGTGTTAGTTGCGGAGAGTCGTCTCCAATACACTGAGTTATGAACTTTTTGTACAAACGCCGTCTGTTAAGGAGGGGTATTATGGATGTTCCAGGCACATAGTTCAATTCTGCACCACAATCAAGTAACTGTGTTACCTTCAGTTGTTATGAAAATGCTGTATTAAGGGCTCGACACATGGGAGGCGACGTCGCTCGCTCTCCATTCATTTCCTATGGAACTTGTGCGGTGAGGCGACAATCGCTTGCCCTCCTCCAGCTAAGCGACCGGCGAAAATAGTGCATGTGAAACTTCGCGCTCATACATGTACACGTGCACACACAAGCTTGCGACGCGACATATGAAAGTTGAAAAATGTTGAACTTTTGTCGCTGTCGCTTAGCATGCAACCAATCATCGATGGTTTCATTGACTGACCAATGAGGGGAGAGTATGCTACACCACAGTTAGCAAACACTTTCACCAAGTGATTACTAAAAAAGACAGCTTTGTGGGAATTCGTTGGCGCCAGGGTGAAGTTATCCTGTAAGTTTATCCTCATAAAATTGTATCTTGGTGTGTGT